AACCATTGGGACAGCAAAGCGCATAGACAGTTTTTTGCCATTTAACCAGCTCCTCAGACTTGAAGCACATGTGTTACAGCAGATGCGGGGTGCCCACTGTTTGTCTTGATCACCTAGTTTACAACCGAAATAAAGCTGATTGTTATTAGTGGAGTAATAGACCGTCTCTGAGACGCAAAAGTCACATCACCACACAGGTAACAAAACTGATCTGGATTGTTTAGACACTTTCGAGACATCTTGCATGAACGCTGTCAGCCAACTGAGGAAAAAATGGCTAATATAAAACAATATAATGTACACGTATGTATAACGTAACACAATCATGCCGATTACATCATCTTTCCTTGCCGAATATAAAAATGTAGCACGTGCATTCTTGTGAATTACAGTATATTAACACTGTCACAGCAGGAACACATATAATTACCGTATCTCTAAAACTTGAACTAATATTGAAAAAATAAGTTTCATTCCGGTTTTAGCAAATTAAAAATAGTTATATTTTGTTGATTTTATTTAGGATATTTTTTGGCTGTTGATCAGTGAAATTTACGGCATCCGGCTACACTGTCTAACGTCTGTATCATGCTTGCGATTTTTGAAACCGAGCATTAGACTGTGATTAGTCTTACATGAAAGGCCTACACGTGGCCAAAAACGTAAGCAACAACAACAACACCAAACCACTTCATTTTGATCAGGGAAGTGCAAGGCTGACAGAACGGCATTTTCCGGAATTGGTTCCAAGAAAAGACGGAAAGAAATCTGCTACTAGGAGATGCAGAGTCTGCAGACAAAAGCAGGAACAAAGTAAAGAAAGGAGAGCAGCTACATGTGTAGAGAATGCGACGTTGGGCTATGTGTAGTCCTAAGTTTTTTTATTATATTTTCAGCATTTAAATGTTTGATTTCTATTGAGTAATAAAGTTTTCAAGCTGCATTGTTCCGTGTGTTACTGTACTTTACTTTGACGTATATATACGTCATCAGGCGCCCAGACAATGCAAAATGAGTCGGCGGTGGTTAACAGTTAAAGAATAATAAGAAGAATTGCCAGACTCCAATTTGGTTAATGAAGGATCCGTTGATAACGAACAGGAAGACGAACTAGAAGACATCGATGAAGAGCTTCCAGTGACAACTAAGGAGGCATTAGACTGTGTGAAAAAGTTGCAACGTTATTTTCAGCAAGGAGAAGACAGTACACCCACACTTACCAAATTAAATAAAAATCAACTTGCTGTTCTAAATAATTATACAAAAAAAAACAATCTATTCAAATGAAAATTACTAGCTCTTTAACCAAATAATTTATAGTTTTTACACATACCTACACAGTACGTATGCCTGTAATATGTGTACAGATTCTGAAAAAATGCAAATTTTAAAATTACGTATAACTTTTTTGTATCTATCTTTATTTATGTAATACATGTTAAACAAACACATGTTAAGCTTTTAATATGTTATTTCTGCTGCTTTTTTCATTAAAAAAAGGGTTTCTTTTAAGATGGTCATCTGCCTATAATAGACTATTTATCACAGTCCCGCCGAGTCCACTATAAGCGGGTTGCACTGTAAATAGGGTGTTTCAGTTTATTGTTGCATAACTTTAAGATTCGATAGAACTTTTAAAATTAATGCATAAAGTCTATATAAACATGGGTCGAAAAATGCGTGGCTTCCGAAATACAGGGTGTTTAAATTTACTTTTTAAAATAGTTTTTTTTAAATATTTCGAACAATATTTGATGTATAACAGTGAAAATTGGTATACAAGGGTTTTTTGGTAAGACAAAACGAGCCATGGGCATAGTTTTACTGTAGCCGTTAGAGGGCGCTCTCTACTGTACCTGTAGTGAATTAAAACGACCGAAAAAAATTTCTTGGTGCAATTTTTTGCTTTTTGAATAAAAAAACTTATTTTTCGTACTTTTCAACATAAAAAAGCTCTCCTGTGAATTTTCGTTATAGTTAGCCGTTTTTGAGATATTTCGATTTTTAAGGTTCGATGCATTTTTAATTATTTATGATAAAATAACGTTAAAAAGTCAGTAGCTCGATAATTTTTAGAAGTAGGCTGTGCCTGCAAATATTTTTGAAATTGAAAGCAGAATTAGGTTAAACGTCAATTAGTTGACAGTTAGTTTTGTTGTCTGTTGAAACCTGAAACGTTTTTTTGCAATTGTGAATGCACGAAATTTAGTATCTTTTACCTGTTTTTTTTGTAAGTTTTATAAAAATGCCATTTTTATTCTCCAATCAAGAGTTAGTGGATATTCATTTTGTGTATGGCTTTGTAAATCGAAACGCAGCAGAAGCAGCCAGAGAATACGCACGAAGATTTCCAAACAGACGACATCCAACTCGCTCAGTATTTGTAAGAGTGCATCGCCAAATAATTGAAAATGGTTTTGGAAATCTCCAAAGGGATCAAAACATAAATGTTCGTCAGCGCAGATTTACCCGTATGATTCAGCGCGCGTTTGATAGAGATCCGACCACAAGTGTTAGGAGAGTTTCTGGTGCCTTGGGAATTTCAGCAAGCCATGTTCACCGTGTTCTTAGAAATGACCATAGACGTCCTTACCATTTGCAACCTGTGCAAGGACTACAGCCAGGGGACGGAGAACGAAGAATCACATTTTGTCAGTGGTTTCTTGATAGAACTGATAATAATAGGGAGTTTTTAAGTAACGTTTTATGGACCGATGAGTCATGCTTCACTAGACGTGGAGTGGTAAATTTTCATAATCAACATATTTGGTCACATGAAAATCCGCATGCAGTTCGGGAAAGAAACTTTCAGCATGAATTTAGTGTGAACGTGTGGATTGGTATCTACCGTAATCGACTATTTGGACCCTACCTTTTGCCTGCAAGGTTAAATGCTGCGACCATCTTGGAATTTTTAAAGGCCGAACTTGCAAATATGTGGGATGATGTTATGTTAGATTTAAGAAGAATGGCCTGGTTCCAGCTTGATGGTTGTCCAGCTCATTATTCGAGAATAGTTAGAAACTGGCTGAACGAAAATTATCCAGAAAGATGGATCGGCCATGGAGGACCAGTCGCCTGGCCTCCACGATCCCCTGACCTAAATCCATTAGATTTCTTTGTGTGGGGATTTCTAAAAGAAAAAGTGTACCAGACTCCCGTAACCACAAGAGATATGCTAATAGACAGAATCAGGAATGCATGTGATGAAATAAGGCCTTATTTGAATAATGCTATACCACTTTCGATAATTCGTAGATGTGAATTGTGTATTGAACAATTGGGTTTACATTTCGAGCAACTACTTTGGATTTTGTATGTTTGTCCTAACTATCCAATAGCATTTTAGTTGTAAATAATTAATTTAATTTGTTAAGAATAATATTGGAAAATTAAACAAATTAATATTCTGTTTTTTTGTGTTTATTTGGAGTTACGAATTATTGCTGTGTTTAAAAATATAATCTAGACGACCATCTTAATTACTTGTAATGCCCAAATCGAAAATGTAAAAAAGATATTATTTTCCCATAAATAATAAAAAATGCATCGAACCTTAAAAATCGAAATAACTCAAAAACGGCTAACTATAACGAAAACTCATGGGGGAGCTTTTTTATGCAGAAAAGTGCGAAGAACCAGTTTTTTATTCAAAAAGCAAAAAATTGCACTAAGAAAAATTTGCGGTCATTTTAATACACTACAGGTACAGTAGAGAGCGCCCTCTAGCGGCTACAGTAAAACTATGCCCATGGTTCGTTTTGTCGTGCCAAAAAACCCTTGTGTACCAATTCTCACTGTTATACATCAAATATTGTTCGAAATATTTAAAAAAAACTATTTTAAAAAGTAAATTTATACACCCTGTATTTCGGAAGCCACGCATTTTTCGACCCATGTTTATATAGACTTTATGCACTAATTTTAAAAGTTCTATCGAATCTTAAAGTTATGCAACAATAAACTGAAACACCCTGTATACTATATTCAAGGTTTTGTTAAAATGTAATCTCTTAATTTCTGCAAAGGAAGCAGGTACTGAGAGCTGAGTAGTACATATATTTTTAGTTATTGCCCTTTCATTCACAAGTGCTGGGCATAACAAAATGCTTCGAGTTAGTAGACGTCTAAATTATCACCATGTTAGCGACTTTGACAGGGGTATTATTGCCTATCGAGATATTGGTTTGTAATATCGCGAAATTGACCGCCGTGTTAATTGTACTACAAAAATGGTAATGCGTGTGTGTCGTGTGTGGATAGAAGAAGATAAAGGAACATGAAGAAGGCCAACTGGTCCACCGAGGCGTACCACAGAGCGTAAAGATAGGCGCGTCAGGCAACTAGCCTTACGCTACGCGTAAGATCGCTGACCAATGGTTTGGAGAAGAAGGTATCGCCTCATTCGAACCTTTGGAAAAAAAGTTGAAGAAATTTTTTCTGGGTGTAACACTTCTAATGTCACAGTATATTTTCCGGCAGTCGAAAAGCTGAGATTTACTGTAAAGATTTTCTACAGGATAACATATCTTCTTGTTTGACATATGAATCAGAAATTTCATTACAACCTACAAAACCTAATTTATCAATCACGAACTAGTTTTAATTTCATAAAGATTGAATATTGTAATAGCACAATTACTGTTGAACGTTTTTGCAAAAATAGTGACACTTTCTGAACCAATCACGTTTTACAGATCCATCATGAGGAAAACTAATAACATTAAGCCATAGCGTTTTATCACTTTTAGAAATTTGCGCCTCCCATATAATTCTGGATTCTGACATATATTAGACAAAAGCTTGGATTTATAATGAATATTCCATCAAAAATAACTCATAAAACTCATCAGCTCATAAAACACGCAAATGTAAGGTTTATTCGTTAAACGAGAAATTAAGTCGTTGATCTACATTATTGTAATAAGATTTAAAAGGTTTTTATACCAAATTCCGCTATTTTCTGAGAGCATATTAGAATCTTTTTATCTGAAACTTACGTTTTGACAACGCCAACTTCCATCCTTTCAACATCTTTGGCCGTGCAAAGTTAAAGCAGCAAAACAGCAAGACTCTTTCCAAATATGCTTGGAAAGAACAGATATGTATCTTCTCTCCTATCTACAAAACGATATCTGCTGTGATATCAATAATTCCTTCTTATACGATTAGAATTTTGTAATCAGTGCTTTCAATTTAGGTCTTCAAGCTTCCTATGCAGTTTCAATTTTCTTTTGGAATCCAAAGAATTCTCTAAGACCTTGTGGTCTTTGTATTTTCGTCATCAGGTACTTCCAGTCCACTTGAGTTTAACTTTATCGATGCTTATGACAGATTAGCGATATTTTGATGCAGGTATAAGTCCAGCGGGCAAAATTCGCACTGCACTATTCCACAAATGTCGCTGAGGTCAGATTTTTAGGGTAAGTCCACTGTCACTATTCGTATTCATAACACTATAATCTAAAGAAGAGTGAAGGAAGTTCGCGGGCGAGACGAGCTGTTAAACTGCAATCGCGGCGCGCGGTATTCGCGGTTTATATCAGCTGGAACTTGACGGCACGCGGCACCTGCGAGTCGGTTTTCACTTGTACGAGGTACTATGGAAAATACACTTGGATCAGTCCTTAAAAAAACTACTTAAGGGCCGATTCCACTAACATTAATATTATGGACTAATGGGAAAATACCTTATCGAAATGCAATTTGACAGAAGCTGTCAAAGGTCTCAGAATTTCAGTGGTTTCTATTAAAATATTGAATAAAATCGTGAAAATTCGACTGTATTACAAACAAGACCAGTTTTTGATTCTAACATGATGCTTTTGTACAGAGAGAAGAGGTCAACTTTCATGTATTTTGATTTGTGTTATAAATATTCAATTAGCAATCAGTTATCCCCAAAAGCCAATGGAAATGCGGCAAATAATAGGTCGATTTTCTAGCTGTTAAATTTGACAGCAGATTTGGACGTTTGTTAATGCATGGCAATCTCGAATTTAAGTTCAATATACTGTTATCATTACATACCTGTTGAATAGTGTGGATTTGTCTGTATTCTGCAAGAAAATAGAATATAAAATACATTCCATCAAATTCCTCTTCTTCCTTTACATCATAATAGTAATCATTTATTAATTTACGGGTTAATGAATTTCTTCAAAGCAATAAGAACATTGTCCTCTCCATCCTAAAACACAGATAATATGTGTAAGACGTGTCAATCCCTACATCTCCGTGATGCATAATGCAATTACTATGGACATAGACAAAAATTATGGAAAATGACTCACAAATAATATCCAAAAACCATAAAAAGTATTAAAGTTTATATTTTTTATTTTATATTACATACAGAGGATTTTCATCTAAATTTACTAGGTATCATGATTATAAGCATCTTTGGTGGATTGTTCGATCCGGAATGGGAAATATTCAGGTTGGAGGAAGACGTTTTGAACAATTGTTCTGATGATGTCATGTACAAAAGGCAAAAATTAAATGCATTAAATCCTATTTAGGCACTTGATCGTCTTTCTAAATTTTAATGCGTCTTAGGGCCGTAGCGCCGTAGTGACACTTTTCCGGACATCGGTCCCTATACTCAAATGTTTTCTAATGTTACACTGAATAAGCCCTAGAAGTTTGATCCCATAGTTCTGAAAGACCCTGCATTAGTATTATTTAGTTGTAATTTATGATAACTAGTAAGTGTTTAAATAAATTTCTTTATTACAAAATCCGATAAATATTTTGTGCCAAAGCATTTGGACATACGTCAGACAATATCCAGGATGCTTAAGCTAATTTAATCTCAGATATTGAACGGATATGTCAATTTTCAAAATCGGATAATCCTGCCATCAATTCATCAAAGTCCAATGCATTATGTTTTTGCTTTGAGGCTGTCGTAACAATGTTATCAATAAAGATTAGTACAGAAAAAATAAATTTCTCTTTCTGTACAAAAATATTAGGAGTTACTATCGACCAGAGGCAAAGCTTCACAGACCATGTAAAGAATCTCGTAAAGAAATAATAGCTGCAACTTCGTGCTAACAAGTTTATCATTAACTTTAAATTGCACGTCACTTGTAATACCAGTTCTTACCTACTGTACATTTTCTTTTATCCTTGCCTGGCCTAGCTAACGACAGATTGGAGGTTGTTCAGAACAGTTGCGTAAGGTTTATCTTAGTTCTAAGAGGTTTTGATCAAGTCTCAAATAAGTTTACTTCTTTGTACTGGTTAAAAATATCCAACTTAGTGAAGCTTAGTTATCTTGTTTTCATCTAGAACTTGATGCTTACATCCGAACCTCTATATGTTAGAGAAAAGTTAATTCTTAGAGGTAGTGCGCATAATAGGCATAGAAGCGCAATCCCACCATAATTCACCTTTATTCCAGTGCAGTTTCACCTACACTGCTGCTAGTATACTAAGTGACATATAAATACGAACACCCAGTTTAAATGGTCTTATTTTAATAAAAGTTGGTGAATGTATTTATCTTACTGTAAATAACAAGTGAAAAAATTTTCAGCCTTATCAGCTGGACATTCCGGTTTTTATACTGCTTTTTTTTAATTCACTAACGCTCTAAAAATGAATATTTCAGCCGCAGTAAAGAATCAACGTTGGCGGATTTTGGTTCTTGACATCCTTTACGATCGGTTACGAGAGACCTGTACGATTTCGTCAACTTAGTGAGTTTGATAGGGGCCGTATAGTGGGACTTCGGGAAGCTGGACTTTCTTTTCGGGCAATTGCAGTTAGAGTGCAAAGAAGTGTAGACACTGTGGTTAGGTGTTGTCAGGCATGGCTTCGAGAAGGCCGTACGCAAAGAGCAAGGGGCCGCCTAAGATTATTGCCCTTAAGGGACCGTTTCTCCACTACCAGGTCCATTGCAAATGAATGGTTTGCAGAACACGGAAGACCTATTGGCATGCGAAGTGTTTACCGACGAATGAGAAGTTTTGGCTTGTTTTCATACCGGCCACACTGGGTCCTCCCTTTAACTCGAGAACACCGACGTAATTGCCTTGAGTGGTGCAGACAACGGTCACTCTGGGATCAGGAATGGAACAGTATTGTCTTTAGTGACGAGTCTCGATTTTGTTTAGGCATGTACGATGGTCGTGCCAGGGTTAGAAGGCGACGTGGTGAAAGGAGGAATCCACAGTTTTTTGTTGAAAGACATGTTCATCACACTGTTGGAGTTATGGTTTAGGGTGCTATAGCTTATGGTTCCAGGTCACCTTTAATCTTCATCAGAGGTAACATGAACGCGCAGCGTTATATCCACGAAGTTCTAGAACCCCATCTTTTACCCTATCTTGACACCCTGGCAGATCCAACTTTCCAACAAGATAATGCCCGACCACATGTTGCAAGAGTCACAATAGACTTCTTTCAACATAATGATGTCACATTGTTACCATGGCCACCAAGATCTTCCGACTTATCCCCAATTGAGCAACGTGTGGGATATGATGGGTAGGAGATTGCTCAATTTGCAACGTCCTCCTCAGACTCTAGAAGCACTTCGAGAGGAGTTGGTGGTTGCCTGGAATGAGATACCACAGGAGGACATTGACCACCTGATCAGAAGCATGCCTAGGCGCGTTGGAGAATGCGTAGCACATCAGGGTGCATCCACACATTATTAAAGGTCAAAAAAAATTTTTATCATTTACTTATTATGCTTCATTAAGTACTTATACAAAATTTTATTAAAATAAAACCATTTAAACTGGGTGTTCGGATTTATATGTCACTTAGTATATTTATAACAACATTGATGCTAACTCTAAAGTGATGTTCTTAAGCCAGTTTAGGAAATAAAACAAAGGATTATTACTGAGTCCTAGTGGAACACACTATGCATAGTCACTGCATAATTTTGATGACGTATGCATTCCTTTTTTTTTTTTTAGGGATGGAACAATTAATAATTTGTACCATGCTCTACCTTTCCGTTCATGTCATATCAGTTACCTTGGATTTTGTGTTTTTTTATGTACTTCTATGTACTTTGTATAAATTTCCGCACTAGTGCTTAAGTGTAAGAATATTTCTTATTTGAAATGTTTCAAAAAAACTGAAAAAAATTGTCAGTCGCGAAACTAAAATTATTCGTTTAAATAAAGTGTTTCAACAAATTTGCTCCGAGTTACCGACCGGATACTCATCAAACGTAATTATAGAAAAAAATCGATTTGAAACCTCTTGCGGTTTTCGCCTCATCAAATATCCCAGCATCTCTTCAAACATGATCACTGTATATCGTCGAAGTTAATAATTGATCAGTTTGGAATTACTAATTGTAGCTTGCAAATTCCCCGCAATTTTTAATGACCTCCACGATATCCAATGATCGTTTCATTTTCTACGCCACTGAAAGGAGAAGTATTGAAATCACGAAAATAATAATATAATCATAATAATAATTACACGAAAGCAGGTAGAAATACCCTTTAAAGGAGGAACACATCGCAATGAAATAATAATAATTAAAAACATTTTGAGACTGAAGAGTGTATCCATAGTACAATCCATTATGTCAGGTGAAAGAGGAATGTCAAAGAATTTTATTTCAAATTTGAAATCGCTGCAGTTGAGCGGAAACATTGCACGCATGGGACACAAAGTCATCTGCCTAGAAAACGTGTCACATTGTGAGAAAATTCCTAAGCTAGGTGGATGGAACTGAAATGTTTAATTACGTCAGCTAAGAAAACGCGTCCAATTCTATTACAACTGAGAATAGATATAAACAATAATAATAGCCATTTTGATGGGTGATTTTCAGCTTGACAGCTGCTTTTCCTCGCAACCCAAAAATATAAACAAAACACTATACCACTAAGAACTTTAACAGAGCAACAGGGGAAAAACACTTAAGCTGACCAAACGTCTTCGAGTTCACATTTAAGCCTAGAAAATTTATATTTTTTATAATTTGATGGCGGACTCTGCATATTTGGAGACTGAAAGCACGCTGGCAGAGTTCAGCGCGGAATATACGAGGTGTTAACAGACCTTTGGATCTTACTTTTATATTATACTAAGTGACATATAAATCCGAACACCCAGTTTAAATGGTTTTATTTTAATAAAATTTTGTATAAGTACTTAATGAAGCACCCTGATGTGCTACGCATTCTCCAACGCGCCTAGGCATGCTTCTGATCAGGTGGTCAATGTCCTCCTGTGGTATCTCATTCCAGGCAACCACCAACTCCTCTCGAAGTGCTTCTAGAGTCTGAGGAGGACGTTGCAAATTGAGCAATCTCCTACCCATCATATCCCACACGTGCTCAATTGGGGATAAGTCGGGAGATCTTGGTGGCCATGGTAACAATGTGACATCATTATGTTGAAAGAAGTCTATTGTGACTCTTGCAACATGTGGTCGGGCATTATCTTGTTGGAAAGTTGGATCTGCCAGGGTCTCAAGATAGGGTAAAAGATGGGGTTCTAGAACTTCGAGGATATAACGCTGCGCGTTCATGTTACCTCTGATGAAGATTAAAGGTGACCTGGAACCATAAGCTATAGCACCCCAAACCATAACTCCAACAGTGTGATGAACATGTCTTTCAACAAAAAACTGGGGATTCCTCCTTTCACCACGTCGCCTTCTAACCCTGGCACGACCATCGTGCCTGCCTATACAAAATCGAGACTCGTCACTAAAGACAATACTGTTCCATTCCTGATCCCAGAGTGACCGTTGTCTGCACCACTCAAGGCGATTACGTCGGTGTTCTCGAGTTAAAGGGAGGACCCAGTGTGGCCGGTATGAAAACAAGCCAAAACTTCTCATTGGTCGGTAAACACTTCGCATGCCAATAGGTCTTCCGTGTTCTGCAAACCATTCATTTGCAATGGACCTGGTAGTGGAGAAACGGTCCCTTAAGGCCAATAATCTTAGGCGGTGATCTTCACGGTCTGTTGTTCTACGGCGGCGTCGAGTGCCTCTTGCTCTTTGCGTACGGCCTTCTCGAAGCCATGCCTGACAACAACTAACCACAGTGTCTACACTTCTTTGCACTCTAACTGCAATTGCCCGAAAAGAAGGTCTAGCTTCCCGAAGGCCCACTATACGGCCCCTGTCAAACTCACTAAGTTGACGAAATCGTACAGGTCTCCGTACTCTAGGCATCGTAACCGATCGTAAAAAATGTCAAGAACCAAAATCCGCCAACGTTGATTCTTTACTGCGGTTGAAATATTCATTTTAGAGCGTTAGTGGATTAAAAAAAAGCAGTATAAAAACCGGAATGTCCAACTGATAAGGCTGAAAAATTTTTCACTTGTTATTTACAGTAAGATAAATACATTCACCAACTTTTATTAAAATAAAACCATTTAAACTGGGTGTTCGGATTTATATGTCACTTAGTATATGTCCCCGTACATTAGTACGAAATGTGATTTTATCAAATAAGTAGGTGGGAGACTTCAACAAAATAATTCTATGGAAAAGGCACAGGAAGTTTAAGATTCTTCGTTATCCATAGTTAGCCAACCAAAGCTAAGCAGTTTGTCATATATTCTTTCATATTTTTTAATACCACAAATAAAACGCAAGCATGCGATCTGAACAATTTGGACTTTGCGCTAATAGATTTTTTGATACAAGTGTCATATCGGGTTTTCCAATAGGGACTTGACAACTTTGAACTTTCACTGTGAACGCTGCTTTAAATCAATTACCGTACTGTCAATGTCAAAACATTCAGTAAAGAAAACATTTTCATCATGGTGAAGTACACGGACGAATAACGCTTACGAATAATTAAAATTTACTACCAAAATTCCGAGTCGGTTAACGTTAACGACAATTTTTGGTCGTAATTCTCGTCCCAGTAGACAAGCAATTTATAGTCTAGTAAAAAAATTGAGTCGACATATTCGCTGCTGGATGTTTCCGTGCCAGTGATAACACGTCCTTTCCACGGCCGTCTCAAGAATTGGGCATCGCTCAGACCACACTATAAGATCAAGTTAACTCAAGAACTAAAGCCGTTGGATCACATGAACCGACGTACGTTCTCGAATTGGGCTCTAGAAATATTGCAAGAAAATGACCTATTTCATCGCAAAATCATCTTCAGTGATGAGGCGCATTTTTGGCTAAACGGCTTCGTCAAGAAACTACTACTACAATGGGGTCTCATAAGACATATTAGTGTCTTGGTAGCACTATTCTTCATTCGGTTTCTGTGAGTTTTTATATAAGCATATACAGGGTGTACCTTAATGATATGCAAATATTTAAGGGTGTGAATCTACTCTACATACAAAAATAATGTTAGTTTGCTTTTTAAGCTATGGTTCAAAAATGTTTCCTTACAAAAACTCGGGTAGTTGTTTTAGGAAAAAAATGGAAATTAATTAATATTTTCAGAACCGCTCCGAATATTTCTCTGATATTTGGTACGTAGTGAAAGTTGATAAAGTTGCATATTTTTCAATTCAAAAATAATTTTTAGCTTTAACAGTGGCGTGCGTACGGGTATTGACTTCGATGTTTTTTAAGAAAAAAATGGTACGCCAATAGTTTTTTGCCAAATAAAAATTATTTTTGAATTTCCCGTTCAATTTAAAACAAATGATCTCTCTCGAATTGTTTTTCTTCGATGCGCCACTTTTGAGTAAAAAATGAAAACTGTTCTATTGCCCGAGAAAATTAATGTAATAATTGAAGAATGCAATTTAGCAATAAATATCTAGTTGCTCTGGAATTTGTCACTGGCTTTTGACATCTGACAAGTCTCTGTTATTCAAATTTTTTCGCTGTGACATCTTTTTCATTATTTAGTTTTTACAATCTTGTTAATAATGATGAGTTATTCAAATGTTGAAATGGCGAAAATGCATTACGTATATGACCTTGTCGACGGTAATGGTGAGCAAGCAAGACGGATTTATCACCAGAGATGTCCCGATCGTGCTTTACCAGATAGTCGAACCTTTTCTAATATTTATCGTCGTCTTGTTGAAACTGGTTCTATCCTAAAAGGAACATCTGAAGGTAGACCTCTAAGTGTGAGAACACCTGAAATCGAGGAAGCAGTGCTGCACGAAGTCGAGGAACATCCTGTAACGAGTACGAGATCGCTAGACACTTAAATATACTAAGTGACATACATCCGAACACCCAGTTTAAATGGTTTTATTTTAATAAAAGTTGGTGAATGTATTTATCTTACTGTAAATAACAAATGAAAAAATTTTCAGCCTTATCAGTTGGACATTCCGGTTTTTATACTGTTTTTTTTTAATTCACTAACGCTCTAAAAATGAATATTTCAGCCGCAGTAAAGAATCAACGTTGGCGGATTTTGGTTCTTGACATCCTTTACTATCGGTTACGATGCCTAGAGTACGGAGACCTGTACGATTTCGTCAACTTAGTGAGTTTGATAGGGACCGTATAGTGGGACTTCGGGAAACTGGACTTTCTTTTCGGGCAATTGCAGCTAGAGTGCAAAGAAGTGTAGACACTGTGGTTAGGTGTAGTCAGGCATGGCTTCGAGAAGGCCGTACGCAAAGAGCAAGGGGCACTGGACGCCGCCGTAGAACAACCGTGAAGATCGCCGCCTAAGATTATTGGCCTTAAGGGACCGTTTCTCCACTACCAGGTCCATTGCAAATGAATGGTTTGCAGAACACGGAAGACCTATTGGCATGCGACGTGTTTACCGACGAATGAGAAGTTTTGGCTTGTTTTCATACCGGCCACACTGGGTCCTCCCTTTAACTCGAGAACACCGACGTAATCGCCTTGAGTGGTGCAGACAACGGTCACTCTGGGATCAGGAATGGAACAGTATTGTCTTTAGTGACGAGTCTCGATTTTGTTTAGGCATGCACGATGGTCGTGCCAGGGTTAGAAGGCGACGTGGTGAAAGGAGGAATCCACAGTTTTTTGTTGAAAGACATGTTCATCACACTGTTGGAGTTATGGTTTGGGGTGCTATAGCTTATGGTTCCAGGTCACCTTTAATCTTCATCAGAGGTAACATGAACGCGCAGCGTTATATCCACGAAGTTCTAGAACCCTATTTTTTACCCTATCTTGACACCCTGGCAGATCCAACTTTCCAACAAGATAATGCCCGACCACATGTTACAAGAGTCACAATAGACTTCTTTCAACATAATGATGTCACATTGTTACCATGGCCACCAAGATCTCCCGACTTATCCCCAATTGAGCACGTGTGGGATATGATGGGTAGGAGATTGCTCAATTTGCAACGTCCTCCTCAGACTCTAGAAGCACTTCGAGAGGAGTTGGTGGTTGCCTGGAATGAGATACCATAGGAGGACATTGACCACCTGATCAGAAGCATGCCTAGGCGCGTTGGACAATGCGTAGCACATCAGGGTGCGTCCACACATTATTAAAGGTCAAAGGGCTTTAAAGCAGTGCAATCATTTTGAAATTTTTATCATTTACTTATTATCCTTCATTAAGTACTTATACAAAATTTTATTAAAATAAAAGCATTTAAACTGGGTGTTCGGATTTATATGTCACTTAGTATATTTGCCTTAAAATTGTTTGGAGAATTTTAGTGGATTTTTTGTCATATCCTTACCATATTTTAAGAGTTCAGGCATTACTTCCCATTGACTTTCCAAGCCGTGTGACCTTTTGTCAGTGGTATCTTCAAAAAATTATTCAAAGTCTGCAATTTGAGTCAATGATTCTGTTCATGGACGAAGCTATTTTTTCTCGAAATGCCATTCAGAATTTCCACAATAATTATTTGTTTTACAGAAGAAAATCCCTATGCCGTAACCGAAACCCATTTCCAACACCAATTGTCGGTTAACGTATGGGCAGCAATTATTGGCAACCACTTTATTGGCCCATTCTTCTTGCCGGGACGACTTGACGGACAGACACCCCAATTTTCTTCACCACCAGTTGCCTTTGCTACTTGATGATGTTCTGTTAGTAATAATAAACAATATGTTTATCCAAATCGTTGGATTGGCCGCGGTGGGCCCCAAGAATGGTCCTCAGACCTCAACAGTTTAGATATCTTTTTGTGGGGCTCTCTTAAGACACTAGTATACACAAGTCCCATTAACACTGTAGAGGAATTAAGAGAAGCAATAGTTGCAGCTTGTGATAGAATAAAAAACACTCCAGGGATATTTCAACGAGTGCGCAATTCCATAAGAAGGAGCGCGGAGGCATGCATACTAAGTGTAAGTACATTTTCAACAATTTTTGTAATCATTTCGTTGGTTCAGTGTTATGCTTATGTTGTCAGTTATTGTTGTTCATTACCCCCAATGTGTTTAATTTTTTTCAATTTAATTAATAATAATTTTGCAAGTTAGACAATAGAACGGTTTTTATTTTTTCACTCAAAAATGGCGCATCGAGAGAAAACAATCCACGAGAGATAATTTGTTTTAAATTGAACGTAGAATTCAAAAATAATTTTTTTTTTGGCAAAAACTATTGACGTACAGTATCGAAGTCAATATCTGTACGCACGCCACTATAAAAGCTAAAAATTGTTCTTGCTTTGAAAAATATGCAGCTTAATTAACTTTCACTACGTACTAAATATGTGAAATATTTGAAGCGATTCTGAAAATATTAACTAATTTCCATTTTTTCCTAAAACTTCAACACCCCGAGTTTTTGTAAGCAAACACTTTTGGACCATAGTTATATATAGTCAACTAACATTAATTTTGCATGTAGATTCAAACCCTTAAATATTCGCATATCATTAAGGAACATACCGCTCAAGTTGCTGTGAACTTCTACTTGTTTATATAAATAAAAGTATCTTATGGCCTAATAACTTCTAAATGCGTCCATCAATAATTGATGCGGTAATTCAAGAAACTACTAAATAATTAGTGTTGTGTTCCTATGTGCCAATTAGACAATGTTTGCTTATCTACTGCGAAAACAAAAATAGATCAATTCAGGATAAGATGCAATTACTTTGAAACCTTAATTATTTTTTGTATTGCAGTTAACGTATCAAAGTATGTTTTCAATTCATTAAGATTATTAACTGTAATTATTTTTGTTATTGTATCTATTGGTTTTTAGTGTTGAGATTATTACTATTATCTTACGTTTGTGCTTTTTTCGTCCTTGGCATAGTAGTAACCTTATGAGAATATGTCACCAAAATCCGATAGGTAATTCCCAATTTATAGGGGGGGAGGGCAATGATTAGCGGATAGACAGGACAGACAGATAGATGGAAATAAATGACATGATTTTTCGCGATGTATATGACGGAAGGTCAGGCATTATTAACAACGTTTCGTATTGATTAGAGAAGGTATAAAGCTTTCCAATATAAGCTGTAAAACGCAAAACAATAAATACTGTTTATGTTTGCTTATGATCGAGACTAAAAATAATTGAACATTCGCCGAATATCCAATAAACTCACAAAGCTGCAAAAATAATGACGCCTAAGTTACGTGTAAACAATACCCAAACAATAAAGATTCGATTATTGTGACAATAAAAAGCACCTGTGCAACAATAAATACGTATATGTAAACCACTTCCACAACTGTCAACTGTATTTTTTACATCCAATAAATACTGAAAAGGCAATAAAAACTAATGCATACGGATCTGTATCTGAAAACACCAACTTATCATTTATAATATGGTAGACAGGAAAGTTCGCCAGCGTTTCTGGAAAAATGGTTATTAGACATACGTCTGACCTACCTTGAAAACTCGATATTATGTCACAGAAATTAAACTGAGATTACGTAACACGCTTTGGAAAAAAATGAGCATATTCAGTGATACAACAAAATTTAAAACAGTTTTCAGAAAGGTCCCCCTACTTATTTTTTGAACTGGTCAAGTTTGCAGGCTAAAATTCACGATGATGAAATTGATGCCTGAACACTATACTTCAACGTAAAATTGGTAGTTGAAAATTTCAAGATGGCGGCTAGGTTCCATTATGGAATTTGTTTTCAAATAGAATGTGACGTCAAATAACACATAATTCTGAACTCCTTTATTAATACCTTTAGTCCAATCATAGACAAAAATACCCCTGGTTTGCAAAATAATTGTGAAGTCTGGTTTTATTGATGCAAGTTGTGCAAGGGGATATTTAAAACAAGGACGCATAAAATGGGTAAACCAATTTTTGTGGGAAAACTTTTTATTCGACGACAAAGAATGAGAAAACGTGTTCTTTGGGATATAATGGAAAGTTTTGGCAGGAACAAAAAAACTCTTTGAATAAGATTCTTTAGGTATTTATGAGACCTACAGAACGAGACCACACGTAAAAAGAGTAAACAAGTTATGGCCGAAAACCGAGGCAAAATGCAGGTTTTGTAGCTGGTGCGATGATAATTTCACGCAGCTACTTGAAATTCTTCAAATCTTCATACTCCTAAATAACCACAAAAAAATTGGAGTCCATTGATTAAGTAGTTTTTGAGAATATCTAATTGTTTATCCCAAAACCCCTGTCTTCCTGCCATCACTACTAGTGTACTGAGCAATATAAATAAATAAAATTTTCTAGAAACCACCCAACTAACAATTATCACTTCTATTAGAGTTGCAAGAATGATTATACAGTATTCCTTAAACAGCAATGTATACTGTAAGAACATTGGCAAAACCCTCTTAGAACAGCTATACAAGCGGAATAGGCACACCTAATAGGACACTTCAGTCATTTAACCCTTAACAGGAAACGTGAATTTTTGGAACACAAAAGGAAACATGCCGTCTCTCAGACTGCGAACTTCAAGATGTTCAAAAAATTAGAGTAAGGCGAAAAGCAAGCAATAACTTCGCTGAAACTGATACTGGATGTTTATTTTATGTGTTTAATACGTAAAATGCTCATTTCAAAATGATACAAGAACATAAAAGAAACATTTTTATTAACTATGCTAAAACCATACAAAAATAACGCTGTTGTTGCAACATTCAGAAACTAAATTAAAACTATGGAAAAGTCTCAATATTTTTCTATTTTCTAGTTAAGTAATGAACAAGGAAAGTATATTATAGTCAATAAATACAAAAAGAACACAATCAAAATTCACTGCAAGTCTCAAACATTGCCTATATTTATGCAGCTAATACATTTGGGTTTGGAGCATTGAAGACATACAGGCATACACACAAAAATTTGGTCATCCGATGGGTCGTTCGGTGACATAAAAAGCAGGCTTTCCTTTTTTCCAAAACCAAATTTTCAGCTTCTGTTGCTGGATGTTCACATTTGCCAAGGATGCGATTTATCGTAAGTCGCAAATCCCGAGGTAAACGGGGACTCTCTAGTCGCTTTTCCATATGCTCACGGACCAGGTTAGCGGCCAACATCTTAGCAAATACCGATTTTTCCTTCTGCAATTCATTTTTCTTATAGCACTGGTGTAAAATATACGAGTTCACTACCGATATATCCAATAGTCGGTAGAAAATAACCAGTGGCCACCTACGCGAACGGCGACTTGAGGTACTCTTCGAACATTTTTCATCAAGAGAATCAACTCCACCTTTATTAGCATTGTAATAGGCTATTATTTCCGGTTTCTGTGTTTCCGGATCACAATATTTTCTGTGGTGCATAGAAGATATGAGTATTGTGGCTTTATTTTTTTTGCTTACATGAGACACAATAGTGGAATCTTCTCGAAATCCGTACATTGTTGATCCGACTTCTCTTGATTTGTTGGGTAAAAATGCCGGAGGAATTTCTCTTTTATTTTTCTTCATTGTACCCACATAGGTCAGTTTGTTCTTCAATAGGACATCCATTAATTCTATTGACGTAAACCAGTTGTCCGCTGTAATGTTGCGATTAGTTCCAAACAGAGGCTTCGCGAGACGTAGAACTGATTGTGTGGGTTTGGAATACCGCTTGTGTTCCTCAGGAAGTTCGAAACTATCGGAATCTTTACCGCAGTATATATATGCGTTATAGAGGTAGCTATTCCTTGCATCCGTCAATGCCATAATTTTTATGCCATATTTGCAAGGTTTCGCAGGCATATACATTTTAAATCGACATCTTCCTCTGAAACTCACGAGCATTTCATCGACAGTGACAGACTGGCCAACTCCGTACACATCTTGACAGTTCTTTATGAAACTATTAAAAATGAAAGATATTGGTGCTACTGGATCTAGCTTCTTTCTTTCATTCCTGTCATCTGGGTTATCAAACCTTAAGGCTGACAGGAGAATACCAAATCGTTTTATGTTCATGACAGTTCTGAATATATCTCTTCCAGAGCCATCGGTGGCAAAAAGTGTTTCAATGTTCTCGTGGTTGCTGTTGAACACCGATGTATATACTAAGATACCCAATAGTGCCTTTATTTCGACTAAATCAGTGTCGTTTAGGTTGCTGGTTTGATTTTTGTATCTCTTTCGCATTTCTTTGAGCTTGTGATTGGTCCACTTAACGATATGTACCAACATGTCGTCAGTGAACAAAAGCTGCCAAACCGTCAACGGAGCTGCTTCTTCTCCATATTCATGAGCTTTTCCTCTTAGAGTTGGTACTTTAATACTATATTGTGCTTCCTTGTACGTGATGATGGTACAACTTCCGAAATATTCCACCTATGACGATTTTTTCCATATAAATAATTCTGAGCTGGTAAATCCTCTTCATTTCCTTCGGCTCCGTCTTCTGATAACTCACTATCACTTGTATGATCTGATTCCATGTATTCGTCTTCTGAGGCACTGTCTATATCACTAAAGTCACTTCCTTCATCCTCAAACCATTTTAGAACGGTTTCTTCGAACTCCGGATCATCGTATCGTACACGTTTAGAAGGTCCCGCCATACTCGCAAACGCACCTATGCAACACAAATAGCAAACGGGAACGGAAACGTGCCGTCTGACAGACTGCAACAAACTAAAATTGGTCCATATTTTAAGGCACGTTTTGGCTAGACTCGTGTGAATGGGGGTGGGCGATGGTCACTAATAGCTTATGGATTAGATGGGTTTTTACGTCTGTTAGAGGTGCAATAAAAAAAGATACGCTCAGGTATAACATAGAAACGCCGCAGTCTCACAGACGGCACCTTTCCGGTTAAGGGTTAAGAGGTTAAATAAGGGCTGCAGGTAACAGTTATAAAACAAAAGTGTAAGCCTCTTGCAGCCGCTATAGGACATTTGCGTCAGTGCAAGATTCAGTTTTTGTCAACTATATAACTATTCTGTTACGTGATTCTACTTTATTGTAACCAAACTATTTCTTATGTATTGCATAGACGAAGTGAAGAATATATAACTAACACATTACAGTCATCTTGTTTGCTTACATATCGGTCATTGTGAATTTCATACACAGGTAAATGATAAACTTCTACACTGTCATATAGGGCTATTGAATTACTTGCGCAGCAAATTTTATTGTGATTATCGTGCAAAGTAGTTACACAATTTCTACGGGCTTCTTATTTGATGCATATTTTGATAATGATCAAAAATATGTCTAGATTTTTAAGATGGAAAACTGAACTTATCTGCGTCAAATCTTCCACAAATCCTATATTTAGACACAATTACACTAATGTTTATCACTTTATATCTGTAATTTCGAACTGAAACATAATTATTCAATATTAAATAGAGGAATAAATGTTTGCCCAATATGGCTGGTGGTTGTGTATAATCATGGCATCGTCCATGTTGTCTTTAGGTTATTAGAATATTTTGGTGTTGCCTGCAGGTGTTATACATCAATTTGACAAATGTCTGAAATGAAATACCGACAGAGTCGAATGATTTACCGAGAATTTGTACCAGATCTATATCTTCTGTTTGAACAGTTGATAAAACCTTTTGAACCAATATGCATGCGTTGTTTGTCTTAAAACATTATGATTATGGCATTTTACACAAATATGACAGCAGAAAGTTAGGTTATATTGAAGTTGTTTACCAACATATTTAGCATATGTACAGCCTTAAACAGTTACTAAACAACAGTTGTATAAGTGCTTCCGTTGGTA